CACCTCTATCTAGCCGTGGTCACTGCCCGGGTGTCGCACAGCCGGCAGGCGCTCCTGTCGCCTATCCGCCAGCCGCTCAGCCTGTGGCCGCGCCCCTAACCTATGCAACGCAGCCTGTGGCTCCTCCTGTCGCCTTTTCGCAAGAGATGCAGCCCGTAGCCGCGCCCCTCACATATGCAGACGCTGTACGTAGGCTCCCGCAACCACCCTACACCAGGCCCTCACAGCCCGCACACCCGGCTGCTTATACTGCACCGTGGGCGGCAGCACCAGTCGCCAATCCCTGGAGGACGCCCGATAACCGACCGATTTGCTACGCTTGCTTCACTCCCGGACACGCTGCTCGCTACTGCCGCTGTCGACCTCAGACGTTCGGCAGGTCGTCTATGCCTGGTTGTCGCATCCCGGCAGCCAACCCTTCGTCCAATACGGGCCGGTCTTGCCTCCTCGCTATGCGCCTACTGACCACCCTGCCTTCCAGCCACAACGCGCACCCTCTCCTCGTCGGCGATCGCCCTCCCTCATGCGTCGCCGGCCCGGACCCTCCGACCAGGAAAACTAAGCAACGCAGTTCAAGAGGCAAGAACTGCGCCGTTTTCGAACCGTCTAAGCCCTCGCTCCTCTCCTGCTAACGTGGTCGCAGTAACTCTTGAAGGTTACTGTACTTTCGCCCTTGTGGACACTGGCGCCGCTGCTTCTGTTATTGCCGCTAATCTCTGCCGTTTATTACGCAAAGTAACGACGCCCCTTTCGGGACTGTCGCTTCACACCGCAAGCGCACAGCAAGTAACGCCTCTCGCAGCCTGCACTGCAAGAGTCTCCATCGAAGGCATTCTTTACATCGTGGAGTTTATTGTTCTTCCTGTCTGTTCGCATGACGTCATCCTCGGGTGGGACTTCCTATCCAGCCATAATGCCGTCATAGACTGCGCACATGCCAAAATTGAGTTTTCACTCTTCTGTGATGTCCCATTACTGGACGCTCCTCATCAGCCGCCGAAGTTGCTCGTTCATGAAGATACCGATATTCCGCCTGGAAATTTCGCCCTTGTTCCTGTTTCATGCAACGCCTACACTGACGCTACAGTTCTTTTTATGCCTTCCGATATCTTCAAATGTCGTCAAGCTTTGCCGCTGCCTTTCGCAACAATTGACCTTGCCGCCGGAAGAAGCAACATGTTCGTAAGCAATCCGCTTTCCACACCTGTCACATTGCCTGCGGGGGAATGTCTCGGCCGCTTGCAGGATCTCGACCCTTCGTTTTTGTTTGATGTCCCGGACGACTACTGCGACCACCCAAAAGCACTGTCGGCACTCGGGGAGTCGTCCAATGATACGTTTTCCAGCGCCATCGCCGACACTCTCACTCCCACTGAACATGCCGACCTGCTGGATCTTCTGCATGAGTTCAGGAGTTCGTTCGATGTGTCGCAATCTCAACTGGGCCGCACATCACAAGTCAAACATCATGTTGACACCGGCCTACACCAACTACTGCGTCAAAGACCATACCGTGTCTCCGCTGAACAGCGCCGCGTCATCAACGATCAAGTCGAAGATATGCTTCGTAGAGACGTCATTCGACCATCTCACAGTCCCTGGGCGTCTCCCGTCGTCCTGGTGCGTAAGAAAGACGGATCTATCCGATTTTGCGTGGGCTATCGTCGTTTGAATAAGATAACCCGCAAGGACGTCTATCTTTTGCTGCGCATTGATGACACCATTGACACCCTTCACGAAGCAGAATTTTTCTCGTCGCTAGATTTGTGGTCTGGCTACTGGCAGGTCCCAATGGCAGAAGCCGATCGCCAAAAAACGGCATTTATTACACCAGACAGACTATATGAATTTAACGTCATGCCCTTTGGGCTTTGTAACGCGCCTGCCACGTTTGAACGTCTTATGGATAATACGCTACGTGGCCTCAAATGGAATATGTGCCTCTGTTACCTCGACGATGTCGTGGTTTTCTCCCATGACTTTCCTACGCACCTCCTTCGCCTCAGGCACGTTTTGAGTTGTCTGACCAACGCTGGCCTGCAGCTTAACCTGAAAAAATGCCGCTTCGCTGCACGCGAGCTCGTCATCCTAGGCCACATCGTGTCCAAGCACGGTGTATTATCAGACCCAGCAAAACTTCGAGCAGTCGCAGAATTTCCCAAGCCGACGACCATGAAAGAACTTCGCAGTTTTCTAGGCCTATGCTCCTATTTCCGGCGCTTTGTTCGCAATTTTGCATCTATCATGTCACCGTTAACCCAGCTTCTTCGCGGTGACGTGAACCTCACCTCCTGGTCCCCTGCATGTGACGTTGCCTTTACTACTCTGCGCCGTTTGCTCATTTCCCCACCTATTCTTCACCAGTTCGACCCGACGGCTCCTATCGAAGTGCACACCGACGCCAGCGACGTCGGGCTAGGCGCGGTCCTCGCTCAACGAAAGCCCGGCTATTCAGAATACGTTGTAGCCTACGCTAGCCGCACTCTGACGAAAGCCGAAACTAATTACAGCGTGACAGAAAAAGAGTGTTTGGCCCTGGTGTGGGTGCTTGGAAAGTTCCGGCCGTACTTATACGGCCGCCCGTTCGATCTAGTAACTGATCACCACGCGCTTTGCTGGCTCTCCATGTTGAAAGACCCTTCTGGCCGCCTTGCGCGATGGCACTCCGCATCCAGGAGTAGGACATTCGCGTCGTATACCGCTGCGGACGCAAACACTCTGACGCTGATGCCCTGTCCCGCTCACCTTTACCACCAGATCAGACGCCCAACCTTCCAGTATCTCGATCCCTCCGACGTCAAGCTTTCCATTTCGCCATCCGCGATCAACTTCTTCATCGACGCAACTACGCTCCCGATGGCCCCCGGTGGTTGCTGGCCATTCCACGCACTTTACGATCGCAAGTATGCGCCTCCCTTCACGACGATCCGCAATCTGGCCACGCCGGAGTGTTCAAAACATCTGAACGCCTTCGCCATCGCTATTACTGGCGCGGCATGTACAATTTTGTACGTAAATTCGTGCAGTGCTGTTCTGACTGCCAGCGACGTAAATCAACACTGTCATGTGCGACTGGCGCATTGCAGCCACTTCCATGCCCTGCCAAGCCATTTGATCGCGTCAGCGTTGACCTCTACGGTCCCCTTCCATTGACACCAGATGGTAATCGGTGGATTATAGTGGCGGTTGAACACCTGACACGCTACGCCGAAACAGCCGCTTTGCCGAGCGCTACAGCTCAGGATGTCGCCTCTTTCATTTTGCAACGCTTTATCCTTCGACATGGTGCACCTCGAGAGCTCCTTAGTGACAGAGGCCGCGCTTTCCTTTCCGAGGTCGTCAAAACTCTGCTTTCGGAATGCCACGTCATTCATCGGAAAACGACAGCATACCACCCGCAGACTAACGGACTAACGGAACGGTTCAACTGCACGCTAGGTGATATGCTCTCAATGTACGTGGCATCTGATCATAGCAACTGGGACCGTGTTCTCTCATACGTCACGTTCGCATATAACACCGCAATACAAACCACCACGGGATTCTCACCTTTCTTTCTTCTTTACGGACGTGAGCCTTCCCATACAACTGATACCCTACTTCCTTACCGTCCTGATGCTTCCGAGTGTCCACCTATCTCCGATGCTGCTAGACAAGCCGAAGAGTGCCGCCAGCTCGCCCGTGCGTTCACCTCGGAAGAGCAACAACGCCAGAAAGAAACCCGTAGCACCTCTCTTCCGGACCCAGCTATGCCCCAGGGTCTCTTGTGTAGCTTGCCATCCCATACCAAACACCGGGACTCTCCTCGAAACTTGTCCCCCGGTACGAGGGGCCTTACATTGTTTTGGAGAAAACCTCTCCGGTCGATTTCCTAATTGAACCAGTTTCCCGATCGGCCGACATGCGCCGGCGTGCACGTGACATCGTCCATGTTTCCCGACTGAAACCGTACCATGAGCCTTTGCCTGAAACTTCTTAAGTCGCCAGGATGGCTCCTTTTTCAGCGGGGGCGATTGTGAAGAAGAAGATGTGCCTGCAGCGAGCAGCATCGCCAACGCCCGGCTCTCTCGGCTCGTGCTTCGGTTCGTTGCTGTGCCGATCGCTGGACGGTTCTTCACGCTGTCTCGTCGCTGTCTTTAACGGCTAATAAACCTCTTCACACACTCAATATAAGGTCGCCCCTCTGGCTTGGTCACATTTGTAACAATATATCCTTACAGTAAATAACTATGAAAGGTTATGTTGTTAATAGTTATGAATGACGCAAAAAAATACGGGACACAAAATGATAAGAACACAAGGATCTTGTGTCCCGTGTTTTTTGCGTCGTTGTTAACTATGAACCCACACCAACTGTCAGTGCTACGTTAGAATGTTGAGCTTACATTGGAAATGCAAATTTTCAGTGTGAGGTTAACACATCTGCAAAGTTTGTTGAGTTGCTTCCATTCCATCTCTTGCATAGTTTTTCGTTTAGTTTACTGCGCTCTCACTTTTTCCTTTGGTAAAAATCACTCAAATAGGAGGTAGTGCACCCCTTGTTTCGAAGGGGGGCGGTGCTTCCAGCAAGACTGTTAGTTCCATACATACTTGCCCTCCCTTACACAAGGAGCATTACTAGGAACGTGCCTAATCGCATTGTAGAATCAATGCAGAGTTCGCAACGCTGCTTCTGAAGTTGCTCTGTCTGTCAAAATAGAAATATAAGGAGGAAAAATTATAGCGGGGCTCCGGCATTTCGAGGAGTGGTGTGCCACTTGTGTACTCTAGCTGAGGCAAGAAGGGTGAGGGTTTTTTTCTCGGAGTGATGTTTCTTTTCTCGGGTGCCATAACAGTGCAGCTTAACTTATTCTCAACCTGTTCAGTAAACACACAGACTAGTGAGAACATTATGAATGTAATGTTAAAGCTATAAAGACAATATGTGTCGCTATGCTCTCTGTCAACGTGGTGTCAGTTTTTGAGGGGAGATTTTTTTCTTGTTTTTTTCCTCCATGCAGAAAAACCTGGAGGTGCCAACACCATCACTTTTCCCGAGTTCATATTATACAACGGTGTCACAGTTCCTAGTCTCATCAAGCCAAAGTAAGTTCTTTACTTGTATTCTATTGAATCGCCGGTCGCAAGTTCATTTTACAAGTGTACATTCGTGTTGCGGTGTACAGTTTGTTTTAACATCGCTTCATCATGCCGCTTCGCGACGAGATGAAGTCATATGTTAAGTTGCCCGATCAAGACACTGTTGTCACAACGTTAACTGCATCGTCAAATAAATTTGGACTAGTTTATTGTAAGATGCTTTATTTTTTTAATGTGCTTATAGGGTAGGGTAATTCTGGGAACTTTCATTCGTGGACTTTCAGGGACGTTGTTGGCTGTTCAGTTGTTTCTTGTACTACGTGTGCGAAATGAAACCCAAACAGCAGGAAGCCTTCGTGATGGTATAGTAGCTGCTGTCCACTTATCAGTATGGGCTGTACACATATATACCTAGAACTGCCAAACAGAATCTGCGCGCCTGTCAATTGTGATAACTGGACAGCGTGTTCTTTACAATCCCGAAGGCTTGCTTGCCGCTGTTCAAGTTTCATTCGATGCTGATAGTACTGTATGCCTTCAGTATTTGAAGCAGAGGCATATGGGGAAGCATTAAAAGATGTAGTACAGTGCAGTCCACTTATAACGATACCACATATAACGATATATCGGTTATAACGATGGGTCGACTTAACAGTCTCATTTTATGCATTGGGGTTATGGGGAAAAAAACCATATATAACGATATGTTATCCACCGCATATCGGATACAACGATGAAAAGTTTGCCGTGGACGGCATGTTTCATTCAGAATAATCGTAACATTTAGATTGATAAGTTCCTCTGAAACGAACTATGCCGTGACAAGACGAAAAGTTAGCGTAGGCGAGTACCTGCCGCCACTGCAGCACAGCGCCGGCAGCGCGTCCCGGCCGTTCAAAAAGCCGAGGAGAGCATCGCGAGTTGGCGCGACGCGCTGCAGATGGCGCCAGCTGTGTCACGTTTTGCGCCTCGCCGCGCGTCGACCGCGGAGAGGCTGAGAGAATTTAAAAAAAAATGCGAAAAGCAAAGCGCCGCGCTCCGCGGCTCCCCGCCTTCTACAAGGGCAAGCCGGCAAGCTACTCGTAGCTTGCCGAACGAAAGCGGGAAAGAGAGAGAAAATAAAAAAAGCGAAAAGCAAAGCGGCGCGGCGGCATCGGGGCGGGGCCTCGTTGGCATTCCGGCTGTGTACCTCTGGCTGTGCTTTCTTCCTTCCACTGCTCCCACCCCGCCGTCGGTCAGTCTCTCTTCCTCAGCGAACCCGTGATGTGTTCTTCGGAGTAAGAAATAAAGTCTTGTTTTTGACATCCTACTATCTACAATATTTATTAATTGGTGAAAATAGCGAAATGAAGCCTGGAGCTACAAAAGGTACGTCCGGCGACGATTTTTTGGCGGCAGTCCAGATATAACGATCACCGGTTATAACGATCATATTTTTAGGTTTTCTCGATATCGTTATAAGTGGACTGCACTGTACAACACATTCTGTGCAGTGTTTCACTTCATGCCAAGCACTGACGCTTCTACTATGAACTCCGCCTCAAAGTGTTCTGCGTAGCTGCAAGGTGAAATGCTCCTGCCATTACATACATGTCATTCGTTACAAAGGCATAGTGAGAAACGCATTAAAGTCAGCCGTTGCTGATGTGAATACACTGTAAATACATTTCAAAACGGCCATCGCTGCTCAAGCAACCGCAACTGCTTTTAAACATGCATACTGTTCTCAAAACATCAACTTCAAGTCCATTTCACATTACTGTTTCGTGCTTCAAGCCGTTTTGAGTGCAATACAGTAGACTGGGCCAAGTTCGTTGCGATTGTACAGTCATATCTGGCTTGACATTCTGAGTGGGAGATAGTGTGAAGATATCTTTTAGTGCATGGTCATTGGCTGGTTTAAGAAAGGTACACAAGGGTAGTCGCTTCAGTCATTAGTCACTATAGATTCTGCCTCATATGAAACGTTACTATTTCCCGCAAGCAATCATCTCTGATGACAGCCCCTGATGTACGCTTATTGACTTTGCCAACTTTTGTTTCTGTGCTTTGTCTGGCTAGTTCTGGTCTAGCTCTTTTTTGCACTTACATTTGGATGTCTCTAATACAGACCTGTGGCAAGCCAGGTCACAATTCTCGTCACCTCAACGACGCCAGCACCGCTCATCGCACCCACAATGTGCATTGCGCATACCACAACCGTGATGTCTACCAATGCTCCGATTGTACACCATGCTGTGAGCAGCTCTCAGCGGGCACCTGCAGCATTTCAGAGGTACCTAGTGCACAGTTGCTGCTACAACAGCTGATGGTGGCAGTAAGGTTTCCTGATTACTTACTCCCAAGTATGCTTTGGTGTTTCTCAGGCATGTAGTGTGAGTTAACGATTACAATCTAGGTTGCCAGTTACACTTACAGTAGGCACACTTGGGCTTTAGTTTACCCATACTCACTTGTAGAACTTGCCAGTTGGTTCTGACAATTTTATATATATATATATATATATATATATATATATATATATATATATATATATATATATATATATATATATATATATATATATATATATATATATAATAAATAATATAGGGGGAGTGATATGTTTGGTTTTTTATAAATTTTGTTAGCTTAGTGTTTGTCCCGTTTACCATTATCATGTCTGTCAATGGCTTTGTGTAGTTGACTGTTAAAATTCAATGTTCATTGAAGCAATAAAAAAATTCACGTTATTCACACATTAGAAAACACATGACACAGTGTAGACTATCCTGAAGATTGTTCTAGAAGGCTGAAGGCGATATGTACCTTGGTTCCATTTATTGGTTAGTAATAACCTTGTTAAAGTTGCCTCTATAGCCTAGTACTGCATATTTTCACTGTGCAAAATAATCAACCTTTTTCTTTAACTTTGTCTTTGTATTTGGACAGTATCTTTGTTATTGTTGAGGAAATTTTCAATTGCTCAAGAATGAGTATATCGATTGAACTATCTATTTCTTTTGGACTTCTTTGCAGCAGCTGCACTTTTTTTTTCACCTTCCCTTTATTTCGGTAAAGGCTTTATGTGGGGGCATTACATAAAGGATGGGTGTACAATAAGGATGACACTTGACCAATCATGATGAGAAGCGAACTCATACAGCTTCAATGAAAGCTGTTGGGTTGTTCGGGGGCAGTACTGACAAAGGGAAAAGCCTTTCTAGTCTACAGTGGTGCATGGGAATATGGGTTTAGGTGCAGCAACCCTTGAAGATGCAGTTGTGTGAATAGTGGATTTTTTTTTGGAATGAAATCGAATATGAATCAAATCACGAGGAGACTGAATTGAATATGGATAAAAATGGAATAGAGTTCAAGTATTTTCATAACAATAAAGCAGTACGCTAGACTAGCCTTACTAGACGGGCCAAGCAGGCCTAGAGTGGTGAGGTGACAATTTTCAAAACAGCACAAGAATTCCAGATCTTATTCGAAAGAAATATTCATTAACAAGGGAATGTTACAATTACCTTTAACTGACAAGAAATACCACTAATTATTTAATTGAGCAGCAGCTAGAGCCTTCGAAATATTTTTGTAACTGCAGGTTGAAATATAGCCGTGACTGCAGTATTTGAGGGGTACTTTGTCTACAGTTTTTAAGAGGACAGAATAAGCAAAAGTATTGAAGTTCTTTTTTTTTCCGTTACTTCAAATTTGTAGTCTTTTCTGAAAAAGAATGAGTCGTTTGTCTCTGTGCAATATTTTTTTCTCTAAAATCGCATATTTCAAAACTTGTGTGGCCACCTGCCCTGCCTCTATTTTTATGTAGCAAGAGATTCCTTGCAATTCAAGCATCATAGCCGTATGGAGAGGTTACCATTTGAAAGCTGGGGTGCATTTGGCACGTTCAGAAAAGAATAGGCCCAAAAATGCGATGAATTAAAGAAAGCAGAGGCATCAAGCCTTTTGTTGGGAAATATATATCTGGCTGGGGACGTCTTAGGGATGTCATCGCTGGAAGGTACCAAAACTATTATCATTTGGCCATTAAAAGAAGTACAGCCAGCTTGAAGGACATGCGACTAGTTGTTTAGGCAACATATTTTCACCACTGCATCTCGTGGCCATTGCCCGAAGGACGCCGAAACTTGGTGTAAATTCAACTAAGCCAAGTCGAGTGGTGCACCATTCATTCATTCATAAAGAACACCTCCCAGCATCTGTTGTTACCTGTAATGAGCTCATTCAAACTTTTTTGCTAAATTCCTTCGTGGGAAACCTCAAAACCCTAACGATTCATTGAACTGTCGTGGGAGAGTGCACTCCACAAAACGTTTTCCTCGAATATCAAACGCTGAAAATAGGCACTCTTGATGCTGTGCTCGCTTTTAGTGATGGCAGTATAGCCCGTGTGAATGTGTTGAACCCCTTGGAAATTTTCGCCAGGGCGCTGCACAGTGCAGGGCCTATGCACCCTTTAAGTGCTTCGACAGTGCTTTGCTCAAAGGCAGCATCAGCAGGTGACTAAGGAGGCTCGCCAGGCAAGACATTTGAACACAAAAAGAAAAATTTTAATTGGTGATGAGTGTCTGTCGGGTGTTTATTTAATGGGCCAATCGACTTGCTGCTATCTCATTGTACTTTTAAAATAATGTACACTCTTAACTTTAATTGTGATTATCTCAAAACATGATTTTTTTGTACATTGAGGACCACGATTACTGCATGTCGCTAGGAGCAGCAAGCAAATCAGAGGGGCCTGTTGGAAATAATGGTGGTGGAAGCGGTGCGAACGTCGTGGCCTACGTAACGCCAGTCGTCGTGTGTTGCAGCTTCTTGAGCGCCAACAACAGTGCGTCAGTCGAGAACGCGACGTGTGTTCTGGGCGAAGCACGAGTCGAGCGCTGTGTGTAGACGCGCTGCGCACAAGAGAAAGTCAGACGAACGCATGCTTGCTAATACATGTCTCCTGCCATTGAAAAAGGCCTTTTCAGTTGCGGGTGAACTTTTAGGTCGTACGATATCGCTGTGTCGCGGGACATAGTTTTTCCAAGCATTGTTGCCATTGCCAAGAAAATTTGAATCGAGCCTGACGGAACCGTGGACAATGAGCTTGTGTAGAGTGGTGACAGGGGCCTGCGACGATGATTCCGAATCAGACCTCTCGATCAGTGATTCCAACTAGACCGTGCATGACTGGACCTGACTGGTTAAAGTATAAGCTAATTCTGTTAAATAAAAAGTATGCTTCGTTAGTCATCAAATTCATTTCTTATGAATATACTGCATGTGTCAGGACTATCGCACATTATTTCGTATGCATTTGCGAATCCCCACATATTGAAGCCCCAAAATTATGAAGAAGAGTGCACAAAATATGCAAGTAAATGTAATACTTCTCTTGGGATCATTGTTAGTTACTTCTCACTAATATTGTTTCTAACAAAAACAACGAGCCTCCTAAAGTTACCTTTCTTTTCTTCGTCTATAGTGAGAGAATTCAATGCAGGTTTCTCACATTCTCTTACAGTGTCACGCCAACACCGGAAGACGAACAAGCATGAAGAAGAAGCATTGAATATCTGTGTCACCAGCGTGTGGAGCATGGCTGCAGACTCGACCTCGCCTGCAGCTGAAGCTGAGGGTAGGTTTGGGACTGGATAGAATGGACAGAAACAGTCGAGGAAACGTCACCAATGGCGGAAGGGTGAGCAGTCAGCATTATCACTTGGCATATGTCTTGTCTATAACAGGACAAAGTGTTGGTGATCTCCGGTCACGTTTTCTTGCTTGATTATTATGCTTGTGTGAATATTCGAGCCCTTTGAATTTCGAACGAGTATTAATGTATTTTAATTATATTTGATGTGAATATATATTGCGGGTGATTTTGAAGTATTCAAAGCGAATAGTTAGTTGTATATTTGTAGCACACTTCTAAGGGTTGTTTCACTGCAGAAGAGCATTGCTGTACCGAGAACACACCTGTCAGGGGAAATCTGCACTGCCGTGAAGCCTCATTTTTAAAAAGGTACTGACACGTGTATTCGCAGGCGAGTTTACTCCACCGTACTAATCTCCTGCATACAGAGACATCCCCTAAACAAGTGTGACTCTCAGCCAATGCTGATAAAATATTTTATTTTCATATTAAAGTCAAATTTCTCCCAGGTAACCTACCGACATTGACACTAACTTGACGTCAAATTACTGTACTAATCCTGGTGACTTCACACTGCAGTCTGACAAGTTCTGATGATGTCAAGTGCCAAAACTTAAAAATGGCTCTTGCGGGTCGCCCTCTCGATCATCTGCTTGCGTCATGCGGTCATTGTTATCCAGCATTCCTGTCGATCGAGCTAGCGAAAGTCTTGAATAGTGTATGTACACGCGAATAAAATACCATCAAGCTCACATATAACGACCCTACTTAAAACGAACTTTTGCTTAAAACAAACAATATTCCGTGTGACCTTGAAAATATGCATTGTTTCAATGGCCCAAAATCGCACTTACAACGAACATCTCCAAGCGCCGCCGATCGATTACAGCGAACGGAGTCCGCGCTCTGCCGACTTCCGGGAAAACCACATTCGACCACCCATCAGACATCGGTGAGGTGCCCAACGCCGACCCTGCCTCCGCACTTTCTAGTTGCCGCTCTCCCCGACCGCAGTATGTTATGCACCTCCCCGTCCTTTGTCGCCCCGCTTTTGCGGGGGTCAAGGGACAGAGAGCTGCATGTTTTAACACTGCCACTGATCTTTCGAAGACAGGTCGACCATCTTCTCTGTTTTTGGTCGCTGGTACTGTCGTTGGCGTCGCCAGCTCGGAGTGACCAGACCATTTGCCGACATCGTCGGCCACCGACTGTATTCGATATCTGCGTCTTGTCTTACCATATCGTTATAGCGCCTGCGCTACCCTGCTGACCCTGATAATTCACGATTCGTTTTGTTTTTAGGACCTGTTCTCGCTCACTTCACACTCGGCTCAGCATGCCCTCCGCACGCGTGCGGAAGCGTAAAAGTGGCTGTTAATTAGCACCAAACGAATCGCCAAATATCAAAGTCGGTGAAGCCAAGCGAACCCGCTGGCGCAACAAACGATTTTTTGACGACAGCCGCCAATGCATTGAACACCGCCGGGCGCGCAGGCAATCTTTAAGTTTTCTACGCGGGAGTTGCCCGTTTCGCGGACCTTTCAAGCAAGCTACCCGACCTTCCTCCTTCCCACGTGTCATGGTTTTCAACGTCGCCTTCCTGCCGTATCCCCCCCTCTCTTCACCCTAGTTAACTCCTTGCCCTTCTCTCGCAAATCTGCTCTCCTCTGTTGATAACAACTCCTTCGCTTGTCTCCACCGTTCCGCGACACCAGCCACGCTGGCTCGAATTCAGAAATTTCGTTTTCCAACTAGCAAAGGGCCCAGAGCTGTACCATGCATTCTGGCATGTGTGCGTCTTTCTCGCTCTTGGTGTGTGCGTGTGTGGTCAGGATGGCGGACGGGTGGTTTTGCGCGCTTTTTCCTGCCGCTCAGCAAAACGTCGAAAGTGGGACCACTTGGCTTAAGTGCCGCGTTGCAGAGCGCTTGACCAGCTGGCAGCCAACTTGCCACTTCGGGCGTTTTAGTATTCAGCTGTGGAGATGAAGAATATTTTGTTGGTGGCGGTGACTGCTACATGCACGCGAAACTGTTTTCGCGAGGCCGACTTCGTCGACGTCTGGCCCGATACCAAGCCTGAAGCTTCCGAACAGGACCACTGTGGCGGCCTTTTCTGGGAGCGCGTAATCGACTCCGACATGGGAGTGTGGATGGGACATCTGTTGCAATAGATTGATTACGGCCGATGACGATGCCAACACTGCGAAACCGTGCACGGATTAGGGCATAATGAAGTACGTGGCAAGAGCGATTTGAAAGAATCGGATTGCGAGACCGATGAAACTTTGGAGCCAGTGCCTCATGCAGCTTATGCCAAGGGCCTCGGTGAAGAGCACGCTGCTGTTTGAAATAAACTCGGGATCGCCCTTATTGCTTCTGCTCTTGGAAACACGTGCGTCATGGTATTCTTTGGGCAAAAAATTTTGTGTTTTCACTTGAAACTTTTTTAAAAGCTGTGTTTCATTTACTACGAACTTCGGGATACAGCGAACGGATACCACGTCAGGCTCAGGCTCGTTATAAGTGTGCTCGACTTATAAATATGCTTATTAGAAGGCGAAGGAATCGTTTGATGTAAAATTTGTCGTGATGGCGCCAATATTTTGCCCTGTGTGTTGGCTTATGCCAGTGAAATAGGGGACAACAGGTGCAAGTTCTATAGATTCCAGTTCGATCCGACACTGAGACAAGCACGGGTCGACATTGTGCACCACGGCCAAGGCGGAGACGCCAACCAAGCGGATTTTATTCTGTTTGCTGCACTTCACTACACATTGACGATGAAGAACCTGTGCCTTAAAAAGTGCTGGACACAGTGCGATTTGACATCCGATTCGGCGTGTGACGCAGCACGTGGCCTACGATTATTCACGATACGTAGAAAAAATGAGCTATCAGCGCTCGGTCTCCGCCCACATACGACATCTCAGCTTGCACACTCCGAAGACTCATATCCTCTTTATAAAACACAAAATAGACAACCTCACACAATGCCATGCTTTGTTGTCTAGTAACATTGCCAGCAAATCTACACCTTCGCGAGTGACAAACATGGCCACAGCCCACATTCATTCTCGACTCCTAGCTTAGGCCTAGCAAAGCCAATGTTCTTGGTAGCGCTGTTCACTTTTCAACGTAAGCTCATTGTCAAGCGCTTCTTTTTGCCAACATGATAAAAGCTTGTACACTTATATGACGCTTTGACTCGTGCAACTGGTTTTCTTGACCCCCTTGATGTAAAGAGCAAAGGTGGGAACGAAGCGGGCCGGTTAGCCCAGACGGCCGGTGTCACTCTTTGTTTACCTATGAAAGGGCCTTCCATCACGACTCAATATCTCATTGGTGGTTCGGAAACGGACGTTGCCTTACAGGCATAGCACACTTCAAACATCACCTTTTGAAATCATAAGTTAGTTCATGTCAGAAACAGTTTATCTAATGTTTTTCACCCCACCGGTAACGGCGATATCCACAGGTACCAGGGTGATCGGGGCCATCGGAGCGGCGAGGAACAAATCTGCGATGGGCGCTTATCAGTGGCGCCTCCCAATCCGCACCATCTTTCAGCACTAAAGTGATGCTGTTTCCACCATCTTAACGATGTGCCTTCCTGCCACGAGAGTTGCCACACGTGCAGCGGGCAGCAGATGAAGCAGACAATCGAAGAAGCGACGCGCGGACGAGGATACATAACGAATACTTGCGCGTACGCGTACTACCACCTGATGGTGGTGTTCATACCATGTCGTGACGTCGGGGTACTGTAGGAACAGAAACTAGTTTTTAAAAGCATGCTGTAATAAATTTTTCAGGACACGCTCACGTTTACTGTACGTTATCTGTGCTCTCGGCTGCTTGGCCTATCATTTGACGCAAAAAAACGATAAGTGAAAAATTTCGTGTCAATCCCTTTAAGGTTAAATATATATTATACCCTCTCATCGATTAATCATTTTGTCAGTTTAAAACCTTGTTATACCTGTTTATATGCTGGAAGTACAGTACATTTTAAAACGTAACATATTTAGCAGGTGTGTCTCTTGCATTCTATTGCAAGTCAAATCCTGCTACTACTTATTCAAAGTTGCTTCCGCTTCCTTTAAAAAAAAATACATTTGCACATGCCTTGCTTCAACTAAAACAATATATATTGTGCAGGTTTACAAATGCACTCATTTTTTTTACTTGTCTTCAAATTATTTAAAACATATCACTATCCATTCACGAATTCACTTCAAACATCAGATTTACTAGTCACACAAGCATATTCAACATGTTAGCACAGTTGGAACTGTGGTTCTGCATTATTTATGAAGTTGGAGCTCAAGATAATGTGAGATTGCTGTGTGTGCAGTGTGTTCATTTTTTTTTTGCATTACTCTCAAGCTACAAGTTCTCTCTTTGGTTCAGCCCACATTATTGCAAGCCTGAAACTTTTCTTTATTCACGACCCATCTAATCCTGAGCTACCTTCTTTTTCTCTCTCGCTTGTGTTTGTTTGCGGTCAGCCCAAAGTGAACCTGGAGATAACTAGGACTTAGACTTCTCTTACTGATAAATGGAATGGCCACATTGACTCAATAACATCTAAAGCATCTGAAACACTTGAATTCATTAGACGCCGCTTACGCTAAGCTGATTTGAAGACGAAATTTGGGGTATACACCTTACTTCTTCAGTCGAAAATAGAATATGCCTCATTCATTTGTAACCCACATGAAACATACTTAACACTCTTGAATCCATCCAGAATAAAGCTGCCCGATTCATAACCAGAAACTACATTCGTCATTTGAGCATCACTAATATCAAAGCATCGCTGAGCTTCCAATTACTAGAGGAAACAAGATTACTGGCCTTGCTATCCCACTTTCAGAAACTTTATCATGATCATTCAGTCATTCGCTACCACCTTACATATTACCCGCCCATCGCTATTTGCCACGCCTAGGTCACCCCTTCAAAGTTTTAGTTCTGTGTGTGCGTTCTAAGGTCTTTTATAACTCGCCTCTGTTTTGCGCACTCCGTCTTTGGAATGAATTACCACACGATGTTGTGTCTGTAAAAAACCACGACGCGTTTATAGAAGCGAGAAGCGTTAAGTTCTCCTAATATTGTATAAAAAACAAAAAATTAACCTGTATGTCTAAACCTTTCCTATTATTTTGTGTACCATAGTGTTTCATTGTTATTCACTCTGCTTATTCTGGTGTTACTAACTGCATCTTTGTCCCAATGTAACCTCACCCTCACCCTATTTACTGTAACACCCCCCCCCCTTATGTAATGCCCAGTAAGGGCCTTTATGGTATGTGAATAAAAGAAAATATATGAAGTTGAATCCAATGTTACTATTATAGTGAGGTCAGGCTTTACAAGTTAGAGCAGGAGTTATCAATCTGTGTGGCCTTAACCCATATATGCCTTGTGTCCTGCATGTAGGATGCTGAAACTTTTCGGTGTAACTGGAATGTTTTTTCTGTAAAGAAGGTAGCACCACTTAAGGTGTTTTTATGATGCCCTGTCCTCGTCATATGCAAGTCTAGGTGATCTACTGGGCTTACAAATAGCCATGTACTTGCAGTCACAAAATGGCTTTTTCGCGTGCGTGTAGCTGAGTGCCATGATGCGAAAAAAAGAGTAATGTATAGTCAAATTGTTCTTGATGCTGCTGATATTTATGTCGATTGTTCGTCAGTTATTGGGTGTGCAGTAACTTTCGTATGAAAGGGATAGGCGCATAATGTTTTTTTGTTCGTGGTGTGTCGAAGATCGGTGTCTTACATATAAGATGGCTCCAAAACTATTGTTCGAAAGAGTTTTTTTAATTGAAAGCCTTTTGTTTTCTGAGGTCATAGAAGCAATCATTTTGGGGAAATAAATTAGTTTTGTTAATTTTCCTAATTTTGGCATATGTAGGTTAAGGAACCCGATCAGCTTTTGTAGAGCATTGTGGGACTCTTAACTTGTCTCTGTGCACTCGTGCACATTTAGCCTTATAAATATCGGCGAGAAATGTGGATCATCATTCCCAAATTTTTCTTTAACGTCAGTGGTGCTTCATCGGTGTTGCAGCCAGGCGTGGCTATCAAATGGTTAACGTACAGAATTGAGAGAAGAAATAAGTTGGATTATACCAACCATGATCTCTCTAGCTGTTTAAATTTCGTTGGCATGGTACACCGGTGACGAATAAGCAGAATTGCTAGCAGTCCGATGAATAATTGATACAGTTTCTCTTTTCAAAGGCAAAAGCGAGTGCATTCAATTGAAATCTAACTTCATAGGTCAAGTCATGCACTGTATATGTGCCCTTTTCTGGATATTCCGGGGTAATCACTTGCACTCACGTAAGTTTTATGGTGTACGACTGCTCACATTGTTTCATGGAGCCTCACTTAAAGATCTGTGGCAAACTTTCAGATATTTCGGATAGCATGGACATGCTTCACACTAAAGGATACTAGAACAACAAAACCAAAAAAAAGATTCCTAATCCCCACAACACTTTTTGTGCAAGGGAGAAGTTTGGCCATTTCTCACTTAAGAATACCAAAACAACAACAACAACAAAAAAGATTCATAATCCCAACAACACTTTTTTTGCAGGGGAGAAGTACGGCCATTCAAGCGACTGGAATCGCACCTGGAAGTGGTCAGTGCGGGAAGGTCACCTAGAAGATGCTAACCCCGAAGGCATCCGCGCGAATCGATCAACTAGAAGGCGTAACACTTCCTGAGCACCTGCCAGAAGAGAGGTGCGACCTGTCACTTTACAGCGAAGCTGTGCTTGGCAAGGGGCCTGTGTGTTTCCAGAAATGTGTATATCCATTGTCTTCTAGACTAGATGCCTGCCACGTGAAGAAAAAATCAGCTGCCAAATTCTTTTCCTCTTTTTCTTTCGATTAGCGCCGGTCGCTAGTGCCACATGTGGCGGACTGTGCAACCACTGTTACATCGTAGAAGTGGGCAGAGTCAATGACGGGGCTACTCCTTCGCAAAAAAAAGTGGCGAGTGGCTGCACAAAAATTTGAAATCGGCTGAGACGGATGTTCTAATCCCTGCAACTTTCTTATTATAGCATGTATTCGCAAAATTCTCACAGCAGTATGTTCATATAGCAAAAGCGCACATATTTCTCTTCATTAAAACTTTTGGACCTCGAGGTTGTTTACTGGCGCTTTAGCAAAGCCCCACAAGGCTTTCTCAAGATGTCATGTTTGCCCGTAAGGTCATGTAGTTGTTATAATGTTTTATACTGACTTGTAGGCCGTGGAATCGATTCCCAGCCAGGGTGGTCGCATTAAAGAGACACCAAAGGCAAAATGATGTTTTGGGTATTAGCAAAGCAGAATTTCCCAATCCTGAAAACACCACTGTTACTGTAGTGACTCCAATTGCTACAAAGTGTTCCGAAAGAGAATTGCCCTCGGCCTTGCTCGAAACAGTAGTTTATGTTTAAAATCGCTTTAAAACCTGCTCGGAAATGACACTGAGAAATGAGAATGATGAATTTTTGCTGTTTGACCGACTTATAAGTCCCTAAAAAATAGAAAAGAATCGGTGTACTATCATCCCAGTGTGCTACTAGTGTGCAGCATTATTGGCTCTGATCTCATTTATGCAACAAGAACTGGCATATTAGGCAAATAGCTCCTTTGGCTGTTTTTTTTTATCAGCTGGACATGCTGGTTAGTGTGATGAAATGTGCTTTTATTTCATACCAATCTACTGCTTATTTGGCAACATTTATATGGGACACATGGGACTGGAGTTACTTCTAAAATGTGGCACTCGATATTTCTGCCACAAATACTAGTATATTAAATTACAGCTCATTTCACAGCACATTTGCGACAACTGGCCGTTGTTCGTTTAATGAAATTTACATTGATTGTTGTTTGCTAAATATATTTCATAATAAATACCAATATTTACGATATGCCTAAACAATGCTTTGAACTCCAATTAATCTTTGGCAAATCAGTATCTGCTCCTAAAACATCAATAGCTGCTTCAAACTAGTATGTTTACTGCTCCGAAAACACCTTATGGCTGCTGCAAAACAGTACTTTTCCTGCTCCAAGATACGCTCCAAAAAGTAAAAAGTCACTTTCATCACGGTTACTGCGAGACGACACGTGGTAAGTGAGAAAAGGCCCGAAAAGAAAATGCAGCTGGTGATGCCACCTTGGAAGTCCCACACCGAACATTGTGATGTCGTAGATTTTGAAGCCGTCTCCTACAAAGCTTCCAATTGATAAAAAAGAAGTACCTTGCCCCTTCTGGTAGCCATTTACCTAGCACCCAAAGCTTCAGACGATTTCATCGAGGGAATGTCACGAAAATACAGAAAATGCATTTTGAATTTTTTGTATGTCAGGCGTGGAAATTTATACGTGAAATTTAGATATTAAACTTTAACCTTGATTTTCTCTGCTAATAATGAACTTGTAATGCTAAGACTTATCACAATGGAGTTCTCAGAGTGCAGTTTACCTCTCTAAACCAAGTGAATTTTTCTCTTTAGTGTCCCTTTACATCCGAAGTGGCCTCATTGAAGTGCCTTGGCACTTACCAAAGTACCCCCTTTGTAGGTCTCATCTACCCGTGCCAGTTGCCAAGCAGCTCGAGACTGCAGACGCATCGGGAGAGACATCATTGCAGCTGAAGATTGTGGACGTCTGGAGCACGGCCTCCGATTCGACCACGGCTGCAAGTGAAGGGGAGGAAGAGCCCGCTAGTCCCACATATCTTACGTAAGCTCCCCCTGATTGCCATATTGTTGAGTGCTGGCCTCTATTAAGGCCTCTATTATACAGCGTACGGACAATGCTTGTATGAGTAAGGGACAAGAGGTGGTGCATCCTGTGACAGCTGGTAGCCCCTTTCCAAGCTGAGTGTGTTTCTTTGCATGACTGTATTGCACTGCGACAAAAGTGGTTTGAGGTTTTAAGGTTCCAATTTTTTTTTTTTTCGTTCTTTTTTGTCAGTCGACATAGGAATGTAGGTGTGCGCACTTGAGCTAGTTTGGGCGCATTGTAGCCAGGCAGTGGGCTTTATTTGTGACTGTTGGTGCATGAGTTTAAGATGACTGTAGTCTTAAGGGTGCCAACTATGCAATCATGCATAGGTGACATTCTAGATACACACTTTTAAGGCTCACAGTTTTTTTTTTCTGGAGTAATTTTGAACCTGTCATAGCGAGTTTCTCATTGCTATATCATTATTCTGGCATACTAGGTGAAATCCCTGCGACTCTCGAATTGTAATATTGTAAAAAAACAGGGCAAAGTAGCAGAAATTCATTATGGAAAGTACGGAGCACCCACACAGAAAGAAAAGATTGAAAGGAAGAAGACAAACAGAGTGCTTGTTTTTCTTCTTCCCTGAAGTTTGTTGTGTGTGCGCCGAACGTTTTCTGCCAGGTTGCCTGGGTTTTTGGTTTAAGCATGAAAATTCTACTATTACTCAGCTTCATTATTTTGAGAACTTGTGCAGCTTCCCTGAAACAATCACATATTGTTTCTTGGTGCAGTAGTTGCAACAGACCTTATATGCATTAAACAAACTCTGCATATCGTTTTGCCGAATATCAAGTCTGGCTTCTGAAGAAGCTTTGGTGGCACGTTGCCTTGGTTAAACTTTCCTAAGAACAAGTGTATATGAGCAGCATTTTTACTTTAGCTGGCTGTACTTAATAAATGGTTGAAGGCAGCATTCTTTTACATTAATGATGGTACTTACTCTGGCTAAAATGAAACAGTTCTGCATTCTAGGCATTACTCTTATTTATGCTCATTAAGATCACTTTTTAGCATGTAACAGTCTGCATTGTGAATTTTATATTACTGTTCTTTATTTTACAGCAATGATGCCACAATCTTATTCTAACACTAAGAAAGCAGCAAGCCCTGCACGTCGTGGCAACACCTTCAAGAAAATCTAATTACACCAAGAAGTGGCCATGCGAAGCTGAAAGGCAACACATTGCAGCCCACTCAGAAGCGGCACTTGATTGGCTAATGAACGTTAATTTTGCCCAATGCACAGATCTGTCATGTTGTTATCTCATGCTCAGGGCCACGGTGACCCAAAGGTGTTGGGTATCGGGGCCATTACAAGAGGTACACTTTTAATTGACTGATGAGCATTTACTTAATTGTACATTTTGTGTACATGTTGTACATTTTGTGTAGTTTTCAGCATTTTAATAAAGGACGTTTTATATTTAGAACGCTTTAGCAATTATGGATCACTTATTGAGAGCACCAAAAAGTAATTGCTGTCTTTTGAATCCTTAATCAAAGCCTGTCACAATGATTAGCACACAGACATGAACGTGTAGAACACAAGAATACTTGGAGAAGCACTTGATAACACCGGTGAAGATACGAAACAAGAACTTTACAGAGTGTGCACTGGACATCAAGTTGTGTCTTTCTGTCTGCTTGTATCACAGATGTGCTTTGAAATCAGTACTGTGCTTTCATTTACCTTTTCTTGTTCAGGCAGAAGTCATGTGATAATTCTGGCTGTGTATAATTCATGTCCGAGCATTAAAAGTGTGTTCACTGGTTATGATGCAATGAATATCAAAAGATTCTTGTATGTAGTGTGCTTTTAGCTGGTTTGGAATAGTAGTAACCAGCTTGTGCAGATTTCGGTTACAATAACGCATGGATGTTAGGGGAGTAGACGCAAAAAGTTACTACATTTGTCACCAATTGGCCCTGTCAGAAGGCTCTAATGATAGACTACCTCACATAGGAAAGCCTTGATTTACCTGATACTCTAATTGTAAATGCAGTTATACCTGCATATAACGAAATTCACTAATTCGCAGAAAAACTTATTTTAAAGGGAATGTAGGTTTGGCATGAAAATAAGAAAAATAAATGCACAAATTTAACAAAAGGGAAACAGAGCAGAGCTAACTCAAAACAGTGATTTGGCGGTAAAAAATGCGTTATTGTTGGGATAAAATTTATATAGGCACTCTGGGCAAGTTTGCGCCGTCGCCGCCATGTTTTGTAACAAATCCAAATTGATAACGGTGTATAAAAGCGCGGAAGCAGTGTTGAAGCAGCGATAAAATCAGCCGCTTCTTTTATATCGCCTGGAAGGCTCATATGATCACTTCCCCCCGTGTGTTAGAACTGCTGTCAATGCGAAAACAGAAAGAAAAACACCGGTCTTAAATGAGCATAAAAGAACGTGGGGGCGGGGGGGGGGGTCGAGTAGCAACGGTGAACTTTGATTTTAAGGTCGCGGTCACTGGCGCGCGTGCTATCTCAGCAGGCAGCAGTGTGCTTTCAACACAGAGAAACTGTGTGAAAAGAGCACTGCTCTCTAGAACGGCCGTATTGCTTACATCAACCTTTTGTAGGAGTGCCGCGATATCGGATCAAAAAGAGTTGGCTGCCCGCCTTACTTCGTACAACATTAGAATTTGTTGCTATCACATTCATCGCACTGCATTCAACGCGCCATCATGCGCTAGGAGCTTGAATAAACATACAAGGAGACACGAATGTCAAAATCTCGGACACGAAGAAGGACGTCTCCACTGGCACGGGTTGCACGTCTTCGTCTTCTTCGTTCTCTGGCACAGAACTGGCTCACTGTTCACTGGCACAAAACACCAGGTGACATTACTCCTCCTCCCTAGAGAGCATCGACCCGATGCTCAAACAAAAAGTGTGCACAGCAGTGGGTCGAAGTAGGCAACATAAACAAACATTGAACATGCTAGCACACGAGAGGAAATGCGTCCTGGGCCCGGCAATCGGAAATAAACGGCATTCACTGTTCACATGAAGGGTTCACTGGCACACGAAGAAGATTCGCATCACCGTGTAGTGAGTGAGTGAAACAACTTTATTGACGATCCGGCATAAAGGGGGAAGGGGTAGGGGGACTAAAGCGAGACACTAGCGTGCTCGGACATCCCGGAGCAGTAACCTACTCGCGTCAAACTCGTGGGGGCGCCGCTTTCGGCCGCTGGCGTTCCAGGATGCTAAGCATGGACTGACCACGTCTCTTTGGTTGCCTGGCTCTCGGCTGATGATTTTGCTGCTTATGGCAGTTGGCATTACTTCTTGGTTACTCGGCGGTGGTGCACAGTACCAGAGGGGGTGTCTCTGGGTGGCTTGTGCCTTCTTGCAGTGTTGGCATACATCAGTGGTGTAAACCTCCTGGCAAACATGCTTTGCCCTGGCGGGGGTCCATATGGCGTGTACTTGCAACTGCCGTAGTGTGGCTGCTTCTCTGCAGTTGTAGGTCTCGGTGAGGCAGTGGCTAGAGGCGTCTGCTCGTTCTGTACCACTGCAGAAAGTTGGCATAGGTTGTGATAAAATACTCTCCGTCTTCGGCATCGGGTCGTTGCGGCCCCGAGGAATGCGATTGACAGAGACCTGCGGCTAGTTAGCGCGTGTGCCTCCGTATCTGCCTCCTCGTTGCGGTTCGGGCCCCACGTCCAGCTCCCCAGGCGTGTGCAGGGAACCACTTGACGGTGACGTTGGTTTCCGGTCTTGCTATAGTTGAACATACTCTTGCGGTGGTTCCATGGACGTTGTTTGTGGCAAAGTTGACTATTGCCGTCTTCAAGTCCCTGAGGACCGTGCGGCGAATGCCGGGATCGCTAGTGCCAGTGCGACTGCAAACTCCTCGGCCTGCGTGGGCGACTTGCACCGTATGCTTCTCGACGTTGTGAGTACTCCAGTGTCTGCTGCAATGACTGCTACTGCGTACGTGTTTGGCCGGTGGGGATACTTCGCCACGCCCACGTAGTACGCGCGCGGATCGTTGGCGTGACCTTTTGTGAGGGCCGCGGCTCTCGCCGTTCTTCTTTCTTGGTGTACTTGCGGGTGCATGTGCTTCGGTAAGGGTGGGACCCTCAGTCTTTGGAGAACGTCTTGGGGTAGCTGCTTTGCTACCTCCGGAGTCGTCGCTGGCGTGTTGATTCCGATGCGTTGTAGTATCGTTCTTCCCGTCCTGGTCTGGGACAGGCGGTTATACTGCGTCGTTCGCTGGGCTTCTGCTATTTCTTCCAGCGTGTTGTAAACGCCCAACGCGAGCATGCGTTACGTGTTGGTGTGGGGGTATAAGCCCAGGGCCGTCTTGTACGCCTTTCTGATCATCGCGTCAATCTTGATCTTCTCTGCCGCTTTCCAATTGTGGAACGATGCTACGTAAGAGATGTGGCTGACTGCAAACAACTGGGTGAGTCGTAGTAGACTGTCTTCTCGCATGCCCTGGTACCGCGTGGCCACCTTCTTGAGTAGGCGGGTGGCCAGCGAGAGCTTTGCATGGAGCATCTGTACCGTCACGTGGTTGCTGTTCAAGTCCTCGAGGTGCAGCCCCAAAACTATGAGCGTCTGCACGTGCGGTATCGGCGTTCCGTCTTGGGTTACCACAGTGATGTTCTGCGTTGACTGGCGTCGCGCACTTCGCGGTGAAATCACTAGCATTTCCGACTTGGTTGGTGAACATTTGAGTCCGGTGGGTCGTAGGCGTTCTTCTACGGCGGCGACGGCTTCTTGGAGGGCTGCCTCGATCTGGCTGTCGCTTCCTCTCGTTGACCACAGCGTGATGTCATCCGCTGAGATCGTGTACTTGATGTTTCTAACTAACGCGTTCCGATCTTCGTGCAACGCCTATCATGACAAGGTTGAACAACAGAGGGGAGATTATTGAGCCCTGCGGTGTCCCCGTGCTCCCCAGCTGCTTGAGCGGTAGTTGTAGTTCTCTTGCCACAAGCCGCATGGTGTGGTTGGTCAGGAAATCTTTGATGTAAGCGAACGTCCTCTCCCCCATGTTGAGGTGGGACACCTGCCGAAGGACGGCCGAGTGGTGTACGTTGTCGAATGCTCCCTGGAGATCCAGTCTGAGCACCGCTCTGTTATTCAACGTGGGAAAGTGTCTGTCCACGATTTCATTCTTGAGTAACAGCATGGCGTCCTGGGTACACAATTCGGCCCGGAACCCCAGCATTGTATGTGGATATATGTTGGATTCTTCCAAATAACGTTACCATCTGTTGAGTAGGACGTGTTCAAGCACCTTGCATACGCACGACGTTAGAGAAATTGGTCTCAGGTTGTCTATGCTGGGTGGTTTGCCCGGTTTGGGGATCAGGACCGTTTTCGCAGTCTTCCATTGTTGCGGTAGCTTGCCCGTCCGCCAGCACTGGTTGTAGTACTTTGTGAGGGCTTCGATTGCTGTGTCGTTCAAGTTCCTCAATGCCTTGTTGGTGACGTGGTCCGGTCCGGATGCCGATTTACAGTTGATTGTTTGTAGAACCATGTCGGCATCTAGTCTCTCGTTGGTTGCCCTTTCGTAGCTGGGGAGTGGGTCCGTTGGCGTTACGGGGAGATACTTGGTGTCCAGGCGTCGTTGCACCTCAGCCTCTCCCATTTCTTTGACGGCTTTGTGAATTGTCTTGTTCAGCATCTAATGCTGAGCTCCCTTGGTTGTCTGATCGTTGAGCAAGTGGCGTTGCAGGCGCCACGTCCTGTCTTTGTGTAGTTGACCGTCGGCTTCTTCACACACCGCGTGCCACTGCTGTCTGCAGAGGACTGTGCTGTGATGCTCGATGTCTCTGTTGAGTTGTGCTATACGTTTGCGTAGCTTTCTGTTGTGGCATTGACGTTTCCAGCACCGTCTCAGCGAGTTGCGGGCTTCCATGAGGTGCGCTAGTCTGCTGTCCAGCATCGTAGCCTCCGGCTCCGCTTCTACCATCTGAGTGGCGTCTTTGGTCGTGGCGTTCAACATGTTGGTCCATGCTTCTATGTTTTCAATGGTTTCCGTATCGTTGTCTTCTAATTTCTTTCTGTACTCGTGCCAGTCGACGATTTGCTGTTGCTGTGCTCTTTGCGTGCTCTCTGCGATGGTTGTTGTACTTTCGAGTATGCAGTGGTCACTTCCCAACGTCTCCCCGGTGTTCTGCCACGTGACTCCATGCAGTGCCGAGGCCTTGCTTATGAAAGCGAGGTCCGGGTTTGTGTCTCGCAGCGACGACGTTCCGTTTCTCGTAGGTGCGTTGGGGTCGTTTAGCAATTGGTAACCTGCGTTCATTGTTTCGTCGTAGAGACTGTGGCCCTTCGCCGTTCTTCTATGGATACCCCCATGCCGAATGTTGAGCGTTGAAGTCTCCACACAGTAGGGTTACGTTGGAGCCCGCGAGCTGTTGTGCTTTGTGCACAAGGGTGCGGAATTTTCGCTGGAAGTGCTTCGGATTGCTGTACACGTTAATTATAAAAGTGCTTTCACGGCGCTTGCTCTTCCGGTGCCCGGTGACGATTTCGACCATGCTGTGCTCGATGGCGCCGTTGGGTAGCAGCTCGTGATCTATTGAAGTTAGATTCTTCTTTACCAAGGTGCAGACCCCCTGCCCTGCGCCTTTCCCAACTGTTCGTGCGCTGGGGGACTTCGCAAAGGTGGGGTTTCACTGTGCGTTTCTTGTAGTATTATAACGTCGGGTCTCTTGGTGCTTTGCTGTATGTACTGTTGTAACGATGCTTTTCTCCCCTGTATCCCATTGGGATTCCATTGCCATATGAGGAGATGATGCTGTTGTGTCTGTGCTCTGTTTCTGTGGTTAGCGGTGCCTGTTGCCATTGTCCCATCCATTATTGCGGTTGGGTGAAGGCCTGTTGTGGGATTAGTCCTGACGACGTCAGCGCGTGTATTAGTGCATCCAACTTAGTCTGTATTCCTTGTATGGTAGACTGCATGCCATGTACGGGAGTCACCGTACATGGCATGCGTCAAGGCGTGCGTTCGTAGCATCGAGGCCATCCTTAGTAGCTTTCATGCCTTGGCTCAAGGTTTCGTAGTTGGCTTGGCGTTCATGGTCTGTTCTAGTCGATCTTGACGTTCTTCTAGGCTGTCCAACCTAGCGTTGACTCTTCGTTCACGTGCGTATTCGAGCGCTCGCTTCTTGGGTGCCGGTTCGCGGTGTAAAATATGGTTTTAGGAGGACGACGTATGCAGCCTCTGGGCGTGGTAACTTGCGTAGGGATGATGGTGAGCCTCCGTCTGGAACCACTTCGTAGTTCACGTCGCTCACACGTCTGAGTACTTTGTAAGGTCCAAAGTACTTTCTCAAGAGTTTCTCACCGAGACCTCGCCGCCTAACGGGTGACCAAACTCAAACTTGGTCACCAGGTTCATAATTAACCTCTCTATTGTAGATGTTGTACTACCGTGCATCTGCTCACTGTACTGATGTTGAGACGGGCCAGTTGACATGCTTCCTCAGCGCGCTGAATGTACTCATTGATGTCGGGGGGCTAATTGGTTGAGCTTGTCGATGTCCTCATACGGATTCATGGTGTCTAGCATAGTTCTGACATCTCAACCATAAGCGAGCCGAAATGGTGTGAAGCGTGTAGTTTGTTGCGTTGCAGTGTTGTATATAAATGTTACGTACGGCAGGATGTCGTCCCACGTTTTGTGCTGCACATACAAGGTACATAGAGATCATGTTGGTTAGCGTTTTGTTTAGCCTTTCTGTTAAACCATTACTCTGAGTGTGATATGCAGTGGTTTTTCGATGACTTGTGTAACTCAACCTGAAGATACCACCTAAAAGCTTCGCTGTGAATGATGTCCCTTGATCAGTGATGACATATGACGGGGCGCCATATCGTAGCACAATTCGATGCATAAAAAAACTGGCAACTTCAGATGCGGTCCCTCGTGGCAATGCATTCGTCTCAGCGTAACGCGTCAAGTAATCGGTTGTGACAATGATTTCCATTTGTTTCCTAAAGAAGACAAAGGAAACGGGCCTAGGAGGTCCATTCCCACTTGTTTAAACGGTGTACGTGGTGGATCGATCGGTTGTAGATGGCCTGCAGGCTTTAAGGCGGTGTCTTGCGACGCTGGCATTCACGGCATTCCTTCACGTAGCGTTTGACACAGGCAGACATTTTAGGCCAGTAGTAGAGTTATCCCACCCGATCCATAGTTCTCAAGTAGCCCAGATGGCCGGATGTGGGTTTGTCGTGGCAAGCTAATAAGACGTCATCATGGAGGGCTTCAGGCACGACGAGAAGATGAGATCTGTCACCACCACCGGTGTTCCTTTTATATAAGATGCCATTTCGTAGGCAAAATGATGGCAACATTCGCGGCATCGGACAAGGAATGGGCACGGTGCTACCTTCTAAGTGACCTATAATCAGTCTTAGATCGGCGTTATTTCATTGATAAGACATCAGATCCGACCCGCTGAGAGTTGCCATGAAGATGTTGTGTTCTTCTGCGCTTGTACTGGCGGATTGAAGAGGTGCTCATGATAGGATGTCGGCTTCTTCGTGCTTATTGCCTGACTTATACATGATGGTGACATTAAATTTCTGTAGGCTCAGACTCCATCGTGCTAATCATCCTGAAGGGTCTCGTAGATTGGTCAACCAGCACAAAGCATGATGATCAGTCACCACTTTAAATGGTCTTCCATAGAGATATGGCCTAAACTTTGTAATTGACCAAATGACCGCGAGACATTCTTTCTCTGACGTGAATAGTAGATTCTGCGCGAGACAGTGTGCGACTTGCGTAGGCTATTACCTGTTTAATGCCATCTTGTCTTGGTACCAAAATAGCTCCAAGACCAATATTGCTGGCATCAGTGCGTACTTCTGTGTCAGCATCTTCATCGAAGTGGCCGAGCACGGAAGAGGAAGAGAGCCGGTGCTGTAGCTCTGCAAAGGCAGTCAGCTGCTCATCAGCCCAGACAAATGGTGTCATCACAGTGTGAGCCGTAATAGTGGCTCCGCAATGTTGGAGAAATTTTCAATAAAGCGCCAGTAATACGCACACAGACCCAAAAATCGTCGAAGACTTTTCTTGTCTGTTGGAGCTGGAAAAGCGGTGACGGCAGCAGCCTTGTCAGGATCAGGCCTAACATCGATGGCGCTCACGAAGTGACCAAGAAACTTTTAACTCTTCTTAGCCAAACTGACATTTCTCAGGCTTGAGTGTGAGCTTGGCAGATCTAATGGCTTCGAGCACATTCCAAAGGCGACGAAGATGCTTGTCGAACATTTCTGAGAACACAACGACCTCATCGAAGTAGACAATACAGCTTTTTCACTTGAGGTCTGCCAGGATGGTGTCCATCATTTGCTGGAATGTGACTGGAGCGGAACAGAGGCCGAAAGGGAGCACTTTACTTCATAAAGGCCATCCAGAGTTACAAAAGCGGTCTTTTCCCGGTCACGTTCGTCGACCTGTATTTGCCAATAACCACTCTTCAAGTCGACGGACGAAAAATACTTCGCGCGCCGCAGCCTGTCCAGAGAATCATCGACTCTGGGCAGTGGATACACGTCTTTCTTTGTGACATTGTTCAACTTCCTGTAGTCTACACAAAAGCGAAACTTGCCATCTTTCTTTTTCACAAGAACGACTGGGGATGACCAAGAGCTGCTTGAAGGCTGTATCACGCCATCCTGAAGCATTTTCTTAACCTGCGTTTGAATCGCATGCCGTTCGGTTGGCAAAACACGATAAGGCTGCTGCCGTATGGGATGCGCATCATCGTAGGTGGTGATACGCTGTTTCGTTATCAGTGTTTGACGTATCTTTGAAGAACGTGCAAAGCATGTGTGGAATTTCAGTAACAGCTCGCTCAAACGCTGCTTGTTCGCTTCAGAAAGCATTCGATTGATGTCGACGCTGTGGAAAGGAGCTTCAGCAGTGCCAATGGCCTCGGAAGCAAAACACTCGGTGACATCGGCAACTGGGTCGGCCTTAGGCGGTGACAGTTCCTGGAAAAAGGTGCGGTGCTTGTAGCTGAAGTTTGTGACAAAAACGTCGCAGTGATCATCACGAAGGTCAACAAGGCTTCTCGCTACACAGACACCCAGAGACAGCAGAAGCGAGTGATTGCTTTCCACGACTGCTTCACCGTGCATGACTCCGTCCCACGCCACCTGAACCACAACAGTTGCACGGGGCGGTAACGTAACAGCGTCCGTTAATGACGTGAAGAGACACTCTGGAGTAGTTGGGTCCGCGTAAGCTGTTGTGGTGTTCGTGGTCGCGAAGGTGACTAAACGTCGTCAAATGTCAATTATACCACTATACTCTCTGAGAAAATCCATGCCGATGATTAGTTCTCGAGAACACTGCTGGAGAACGCTCAAACTGGCAACAAACATACAACCACGGACTTGCAATCTCGCTGTGCATATACCGAGGGTCGTGACAATATGCCTGCCAGGTGTACGAATTGGCGTTCGGTTCCAAGGCATCGTTACTTTCTTCAGAAGGGCGACCAGTTTTTCACTAATTATATAATAATCCACACCAGTGTCCACTAAAGCACTGACTTCGCGACTATCTAGCAGAACAGGAATATCTAAGGAAACTCTTCCGCAATCAGCCGGTGATGTCGTCGATGT